ACTCTAAGGTAAGTTCTCTTGTGAATCATTCGATTACTCCAAAAGTTCCTTTTCCTCGTAGGTTTTTGAATTCAAAGAAGGAGCAAGTTTCAAAGGACATTCTAGAGACTTTCCGAAAAGTGCAAGTGAACATTCCCTTGCTTGATGCGATCCAACAAATTCCAAGCTATGCAAAATTCCTCAAAGACCTTTGTACAAATAAGAGAAAGTTCAAGGAGCATGAAACCGTGGCCTTGAGTGAAGAAGTCTCAGCTGTGCTATTGCGTAAATTGCCTCCTAAACTAAAGGATCCAGGGAGTTTTACTATACCTTGTCTCATTGGAAATCAAAGGTTTGAACATGCTTTATTAGACTTAGGTGCTTCAATTAATTTGATGCCTTTTTCTGTTTTTGAATCTTTAAATTTAGGTGAGCTTAAGAAGACTTCCGTGAGCATACAATTGGCTGATCGATCAATCAAGTATCCTAAGGGAGTGCTGGAAGACGTTTTGGTCAAGGTGAATGAGCTAATTTTTCCAGCTGACTTTCTAGGTCTCGAGATGGAGGAAGTTCCTATTCCTGGAAAAGACCTTCCATTGATTCTAGGACGTCCATTCATGAGAACAGCAAGGACAAAAATTGATGTGTATGAAGGCACTCTCACAATGGCATTCGATGAGGAAACCGTGGAGTTTAAGGTATTTGATGCTTTAAAATATCCTAACGATGATCATGCTTGTTTTTCCATAGATGTACTTGAACAAATGGTACAAGAAACATTTAGTGCATCACAAGGAGAGACGCCATTGGAGAGGGCACTCATCCAAAGCCCCGAAACAGTGAATAAAGAAGGGAACATAGCCGTACTTGAAGCTGTGAATATACTTGAGGCCTTGCCTCCCCAAAGAGGTAAGTTTAACTCTATTTTTGAGTCTCTTCCATTATCTACTAATAAGCTTGTTCCCTCTATTGTGAAGGCACCACAAGTTGAGCTAAAACCCCTTCCGGAGAACTTGAAATATGCATATTTAGGTGACAAAAAGACGCTGCCTGTGATCATTGCTTCTAATTTGAGTGCATCCGAAGAAGACAAACTAATTCGAGTTCTAAGGGAGTACAAGACTGCCCTAGGTTGGACCATTGCAGACATCAGAGGAATAAGCCCTACAAAGTGCATGCATAGGATCCTTTTGGAAGGAGAATCGAAACCCACAAGGGAAGCCCAAAGGAGGCTGAATCCAGTGATGAAAGAAGTCGTTAAGAAGGAAGTTTTGAAGCTTTTGGACGTGGGAATTATATACCCCATTTCGGATAGCAAGTGGGTGAGTCCCGTCCAAGTTGTTCCCAAGAAATCCGGAATTACCGTTGTGAAGAATGAAGACAATGAGTTGGTGCCTCAAAGAATTCAAACGGGTTGGAGAGTATGCATAGATTATAGAAAGCTCAATACCACGACACGTAAGGATCACTTTCCGTTACCATTTATTGATCAAATGCTTGAGCGTCTTGCAGGTCATAGTCATTATTGCTTCTTGGACGGATACTCCGGATACAATCAAATTGCCATAGCTCCGGAAGATCAAGAAAAGACCACCTTCACTTGTCCATTTGGTACGTTTGCTTATAGGCGTATGCTTTTTGGTTTATGTAACGCCCCTGCCACTTTTCAACGTTGCATGATGTCAATTTTTTCTGATATGGTGGAGGAGATAATAGAGGTATTTATGGATGATTTTTCAGTTTTTGGTGATTCTTTTGATATTTGTCTTCACAACCTCTCTCTAGTGTTGAAAAGGTGTCAGGAATGCAATTTAGTGCTCAATTGGGAGAAGTGTCACTTCATGGTACAACAAGGTATTGTATTAGGTCACATTATCTCTTGTAGGGGAATTGAAGTGGACAAGGCAAAAATCGATGTTGTGAAAAGCTTGCAGCCCCCAACAACTGTGAAGGAGATTAGGTCATTCCTAGGACATGCAGGGTTCTATAGGCGTTTCATCAAGGACTTTTCAAAAATATCAAGGCCCCTATGTCGATTGCTTGGCAAAGATGTGGAATTCGAGTTTAATGAAGCGTGCTTGGCTGCATTTAACAAGCTTAAGGAGCTTTTAACATCTGCCCCTGTTATACAACCTCCAGATTGGAATTTTCCCTTTGAGTTGATGTGTGACGCCTCGGATTATGCAGTGGGGGCTGTACTTGGACAAAAAGTGCACAACGTACCACATGCCATCTATTATGCCTCCCGGACTTTGAATGATGCTCAGTTGAATTACTCAACTACGGAAAAGGAGTTGCTTGCTGTTATTTTTGCTTTAGAGAAATTTAGATCATATCTTATTGGCACTAAAGTAATTGTATTCTCTGATCATGCAGCGCTTAGGTACCTTTTCCAAAAGAAAGACGCCAAGCCAAGACTGATTAGGTGGACTCTCTTGCTTCAAGAATTCGATTTGGTGATTAGAGACAAGAAAGGGAGTGAAAACGTGGTGGCTGACCATTTGAGTAGGCTGGTGCAAGGATCCAATGAAGAAGAGGACATGCTTCCTCTAAGTGAAAGTTTCCCCGATGAGCAACTCTTCACCCTCGAAGCCAAGGACCCTTGGTACGCTGACATTATCAATTACAAGGCTTCAAAACTGATTCCGGAGGATCTCACTCGAGCTCAAAAGGATAAGCTTGTCAAAACGAGTAAGTATTATGTTTGGGATGATCCATACTTATGGAAATATTGTCCAGATCAGATTGTTAGAAGGTGCGTGTCCGAATCTGAATTTAATTCTATACTTACCTTTTGTCATTCATCTGCATGTGGTGGACATTTTGGTCCTAAGAAAACAGCCCTTAAAGTATTGCAATGTGGTTTTTATTGGCCAAGCTTGTTCAAAGATGCATATACTTATTGTTCCACATGTGATAGATGTCAAAGAACCGGTAACATCAGCTCTAGGAATCAAATGCCTTTAACGCCTATTCTTATTGTTGAAATATTTGATGTGTGGGGTATTGATTTTATGGGACCATTCCCTTCCTCTTATGGCTTTATTTACATTCTCCTTGCTGTTGACTATGTCTCTAAATGGGTGGAAGCAATTCCTACCCGGACTAATGATTCAAAAGTTGTTTTGAGCTTTGTGAAGGAAAACATCTTTTCTAGGTTTGGAACACCAAGAGCCATTATCAGTGATGGAGGCACTCACTTTTGCAATAGGTCATTTGAGGCACTTTTAAAGCGGTATGGAATTACACATAGGGTCTCGACACCTTATCATCCCCAAACAAGTGGACAAGTGGAGATTAGTAACCGAGAAATCAAGCAAATCTTGGAGAAAACCGTGAGCCCTACGAGAAAGGATTGGAGTTTGAGACTTAATGAAGCATTATGGGCATATAGGACAGCTTACAAAACCCCCATTGGTATGTCTCCTTTTCGTTTGGTTTATGGTAAAGCATGTCACCTTCCGGTTGAGCTTGAACATAGAGCATTTTGGGCAATCAAGAAATTCAATTTCGATATGAAAGAGGCTGGAGATGCAAGGCGACTCCAATTGAATGAATTGGATGAGATGAGGAATGATGCTTATGAGAGTGCACGGATTTACAAGGAAAAGACGAAGGCATTTCATGACAAAGCCATTCAAAGGAAGACCTTTGAAATAGGGCAGAAAGTCTTGCTCTTCAATTCACGCCTCTGGCTATTCCCAAGTAAGTCACGTTCTAGATGGTACAGTCCTTTTGCTGTTAATTGGGAGAAACAAATTCTTACATGAATATATCTAGCAAAATGATTCCATTTGTTATGAATCTGATATGGGCATCTGCCTTTTGTAGAATACAAAACCAAACTGAAAAACAAAAGGGAATGGCTTACATCCAAATATCCTATCTTGACTTTCCTGCAACTTGAATTGAGGTTCATATAAAGAAATGAATTAAAAAAACATAAATAAGAGGAAGAAAAATAGGACCAAGTCTCAGCCATTCGTTATGGATCCAACATATTTTCTAGTAGCCCAACACCTAAATGTCAAACTCAATCATTCTGCCATGACATCTAAAATTAGCTCATTTAGTAAAACATCATAACTTAGAAACAGCAACACAACGCAATCATGTTACAGTTAAAATAGCACAACACATTCACATATATGAAACTCGTATCAAAAGCTCTGCTATCCACAGGAGTATTTGAAACCAGGTGCTTTACACCCAATCTACTACACATTGTGTTGTTTTCTATAGGATGAGAAAAACCTAAAAGAAAATCACATCAAATCATGCTTTGAATGAATCAGTTGAGTTCAGTTCACCTGGCAATAATGATAAGGCAAATACCTTTTGTTGACCACCGTAACCATCCCCTACAGCAGCTCTTGTAGCAGCGAGTTGAAGAAAACTAAAAAGAAGAAACTGTACCAGTTCAGAAGCTTCCACCCCAAAAATCAAAACCAAAAGCCCCAATTAATCTGCATATACAACTGTTGATCCTTTTTTGCGGAAAGGGTCAACTTAGAGAAAAGGGGTTTGTCTTCAGCAGTTGAGAAGGTGTGGACCTTCAATAAGGGGCTAACCTGCATAAGACAAAGTAAGAGAAGCAGTTGTTAAGCTTCGGACACCGGTGTGGTGCCAGCCGAAGGCTCTCCGATGCTTAAGTAAGCTAAGAGTAGTAACTTTAGTAAAGTAACAGTAAAAGGTAAGAAAGTGGTTACCCTTTTTACTAGGGTACTGTTCCCTATTTATAAGGAAGTGAAAGTGGGTGGTTTGTGTAGATTTCCGTTGTGGGACTTTGTCCAAGTCGTTGTGGTGGCGACACGTGTCATGGAGATTAGGTTTAGCAATTGAGACCTTCAGCAGTCGGGAGTTTCGGCAGGTGCTTGGCACCTGGGAAGAGTGCCTTCCTTCGGCAGGGGAGAAGGTGTGTTGGCCTTGGTGCTAGTTATTTTGAGGCTGGATATGCTCGGTTGATTATGGTGTAAACAGTAGTCCCCCAAGTTCGCGGTCAAGAAGTGACTTCTGGGTTGGCAACTTGCGAGCTTTTTGTGTAATCATGACTGAACATTCCAGGTTCAGTGGGAGCCGTATGGCAGTCCTTAGTCCCCCAAGTTGGCAAACTAGAAGTTGCGTTAATACTTGAAAGGTATGACAAAAGCCGTGTTAGCCTCTGGGATTGTTGGTAGCTGGGTACCTTTAAAAGAAAAAGTAGACTTGGGTCTCGAAGCTTCAGCAAGAAAATCTGTGGGCCCCAGTGCTTATGACTCGGGTCCTGCCGTTTGGTAACCAAGTGATGTTTTTGGGCAGCAAGGGCCTGGGTCCCCAAAATATTGGGCTGAAGTGTGAAGGAGAAAAGAGTGTGGGCTTCAATTTTTCTTTTTCTTCAATTTTTTTTTATTTTTTATTTATT